AAAAATAAGCAGTCTCTGAGCCCAATATGATCAGTCCACCAAACTAAATATCGTTCCAGGGCAGGCTAACCGAGGCTAACCAATGAGCACCTGCATGTGTGTATGAGAATGGCCCTGACACCATTTCAGCCCAGATTTAAACTCCTGGCAGGACAAGCTCAAGCTCAATTCTTGAACTGAATTAAAAAAAAGTGAGTGATGGACTGCAATATAAGAGGGAAAGAAAGAGAAACTTTAAAACTGTTAAATTGTTATGATGTGTAAAGACTGATATGTTCTATAATCGGCTGAAACTGTTAAGTCATGATGTGAAACGGTTAACAAAGAAAAAGGGAAACTCAAGCTGCTGCTACACTTTATTTTATTTATCTAAAATTAAGCACTTTTAAGATGCACATATTTTCAAAAGCCATTTTATTTATTTTCTCCTATTTTATTTTTAAATGCAGCCAGAGAGGAACATTACACATATCCACAGTATTTTACTGTATATCTGTATAGTTCAATGTTAATTGACAATAAATATTGTTGTTTATGAATTGTACTTTCTTTATTTGATTGGCAGTCAGTTGTTGATTACATGCAGACGTTGATAAGGCTACAGGCTACTTCAATATATATCACACTAATTCATAAAGCAAGTTAGACATTTTGATGTTCCGGACCTTTGCATGGGGAGATTTTCTCTAACTGGACCTCGTTGAATTTTAGTTGAATACCCCTGGCGTAGAGCATGTAAATAGGATAGAATAGAGCCCAATGTACCGGACAGAGGCTCTAGACTCTCCTCCTCGCACCAATGTTGGAATCCCAACCACTTCGTCCTGTAACGCCGCCTACACACGGCGGCGTGCGTTGCCGCTTGGCAGTGGGCGTGTCTTGAGCTTGGGGAGTTTACGCGAGCAACGCGACCAACAACCAATCACATGAATCTCTGCTTTTAATTGCATAAAAGGTTTTACATGTCACACTTTATATGATGAACATTTATGACATTAATGTCTATGGTGCTATTTTACGCAACATTCCATGCTGGCTAAATACTGCCTATGCCTGCTAGCTGTCCATTCAAATGAAGTACACTGGATATAAACTCCCCAAACAGGCGAAAACCTACCAGTTTCACCCACTGTCTCTGCCACCTCCCTCCATGTCTGGCTCCTCCGGTTTGTATCCCGGTAGGTGAACAGGGACTGAAAGCACCGGGTGATTCCCTACCGCTACGATTATTTTCTCCTCCATTTTTTGGCATATGAGGAAATGAACTGCGGTCTGGCTCTCCCAGCATACACGCGGTTTGATTGGCTAGCGCTTGTACTGGCAGATTTGCATACGCAGGATTTGATTGGCTGACGCCTCCGCCTCAGCTTCAAAAGTAGAACATTGCTCTACTTTTGCAGCGAGCACCGCGAGAAAAGCTACGCTTTGCTCCCACAATGCAGTTCGGCGAATCGTGACGTCACCCCATTCAAAGTGAATGGGCAGAAGCGTTGAAGCGTCAACGCACGCCGCCGTGTGTAGGGGCCGTAACAGGCTGTGGTTGATCCCACTCTTGCTGCCTGGATAGTCTGTATAACATTGTCAGACAGTCCACCTCTTCTCAGCTTGTCCCTCTCAGGAGTCACGCCCCTATTGCACCTGCTTCCTGAGACAGCGCCCCCCAGAACTGAGGGACGGTCCAGGGCTGGCCCACCATCATTTGTGTCACTTCTGCGTACCACGGCGCCGAGCGGTGACCTGGGGCTATGACCTACAACTGTTCTCGTCTCACCCTCTCCAGGAGTGGGGGAATGAGACGCAGTGGTGGAAAGGCGTAGAGCAGTTATCTTGGCCATGGCTTGTGTGCAAACGTGTCCACCCCCAAGGGTGGATTGTCCTGCCGAGCCAGGGAGAACCACCATTCGTCTGGCAGGGACCTGCCTCTTGACATGAGGCCGGCCCCACTGTTCTCCAGTCCCGGAATGTGGGGGGCCTTTAGAGTTAAAACATTTCTCTGAGGCCCACAACCACAGGCAGTGGCGGCGCCAGGGTATGGCTGGGGTAGGCTACAGCCATACCAAGAAATGGCTTAGCCCCACCTTAGCCCCACCATGAAAAATGATGTTAAAGTAAGCAAAATAAAGTCCGCCAACTCGCGCGGAGTAAATTGCACAGACAGCAGTTAGTAAGATTGATTTCAGTAGCCACTTGTCTGGAAATACCGAAGACTAGAAACGGTTTTGAAAACTTTTGTCACGTAGTGATCGTCTTCTCAATAAAACATCTTTGATAATGTCTTCTGGCCAATCAGAATCACGATAACGGCGTGGTGTTGTTGCAGGAAGTCCCGACGGAGAATACTTTTGCTGTAGTACATCTCTATATACATCGATACAACATTACGTGTTGATAGAAATCAACACGTAATGAAATAAGACCCCACGGTTTGATGATTGATAGGTGTGTGGGCTGTCTTTCACACAGAACAATGGGGGCTATCCACCCTTATCCACAATGTAAAGTACAGCTCACACAGCCTCTTGCCTCTTCTCTCTGTGAGGAGCAGCAGGTTCAGCTTTCAGAACAAAGTAACAAAAAACTAAAATGGCATTCATATTTTTAAATGTGTAGTAATAGATTTATTTATTTTTCTTCTCAAGAGAGTACCAGAATGTGTATTTTATGTTAGTATTTCAAAAAATCTCCTGGGGGAGAATCCCCCCAGACCCCCCTGCAGTGGTTGGGTTTTCAGCATGTCAACTCTTTCACCTGTGGGGAAATTGCAGGATTGGCTCCAGGTCGCCCTTTTTATTTACTACAAGTCAAATGTGCCTTTTTATTTCATACAGTTCAATTTGGATTGAGACAGGGAAATAATCTAAACCTCACGCGTGGCGTTTCACTGTCAAGGGGAGCGTGTATGTAATTACATTGCAAATACTGACTTGAGCCCCACCACTGTATGGGTTAGCCCTACCATAGATTACCCAACAAAAATACTCTGGAGCCGCCACTGACCACAGGTTCTCCGCTGCGCTCAACAAGGCGGGGGAGCTGACTCCGTCCTGCCTGTTGATGTAAGCAACTGTGGTGCAGTTGTCGCTCCTCACCAGCACATGTTTTCCCTGTAGTAAGGGTTTGAAGTGCTGTAGGACCAGTACTACTGCCTGTAGCTCGAGAAGGCTGATGTGCCGGGTCTCTGTCAGAGGCCAGCCACCACCTACAGCTGTCTCTACGCAGGTCCCTCCCCTTCAGCAAATGCTTTGGGGACCCCCAGTATCGGAGGTTGCCCTCTACTGAAGGGGGGGATGGAGGAGGGACGCTGCAGAACTGGAGTGAGTAACCCAGTCCCAGGACAGAAAAACCTAAAGACACCTCCTCCATACCCATATTTGTGGAAACTGGGCATGGCCTCTAGTGTGCAGAACTTGCAAAATATTATTCTCGGCTATGGCATAAACACATTTTTGGGGCCTTAGTATTTCTCCAAAAAGTCAGGAGCCCCCCCCTGTGCACCGCTGTGGGAAGAAACTGTCTTCTCTTTCTTATCAGTGACACCCATAAACCATAATAGGCCTTACACTCAACTTAACATACCACTTGTGTTTTGTTTATACTGTAAATATAGAAAATCATAAAATATGAAGCATTTTCATTGTGGGTTATACAAGATTATAAAACGGACAAGTCAAATCAAGCAATCTGATTGGTTCTTAGCCGTGGTATACTGAGCGTATACCACGGGTAGAATTGTAGTTACTTTTCACAACAAGTCAGTATCCCTCCGCGTCTGAGAAAAACCGTATACAGTTGGGCTGAAAAGCAAACTGTCCCAGTTTGCTTTTCAAACTGGGACAAGAAAACAGCGGAGAAGTAACGGGGCAGAAACCCTCCTTTTTACGCAGCGGTCCAGACATAGACATCAAACTGCAAAACATATTCAGTGTGCAGTTCCTTTGGCATTAGGGCAGGGATATCTAGATACTTTCCAAGGTTTGACATAATGACTTGTGCTACTTTTAAAGCAAGCAACGATGTTTTCAAATCTGTAATCAAAAAGGTCCGCAAAAACATTTAAGATTAACTTCGACCTCCGGGGGGGGGGTCTTACTATGGAGTGGATTGAGGAGTGCCTATCTCCAGAACAAAAAGCACCTAAACGACGACATGTAGAGCTACGTGAAGAGCAGGTAGACCAACTGGAAAAGTATCACCATTCAAAAGCTTTCTGATGCGGGTCTTGAAACAAAGCAGAGAAATTATGACCGTTAGTGGCCACAGGTGCGAAAGCTCTCTCCAGAGCTACTGGAAGCCGAATCTCGGGGACCGGAGAAAGTGGAGCAATATTCTCGCCACGCCAAGCAACAGCCTAGAACAACCTCAACCTATACAAGTAACCACGTAAGCCATTCTACTGATGCTGGACAGTTTTTCAGTGGGTGCACAATAAACGGCAACATACAAATTAATGTAAATAAATAGCCAAATAATGGATCAACGCTCTCTGTCTAATATGTTCGCTAGCTGTTGTTAGTGTTGTTGCATAGCAACCACCTCGCACTATGTTTTGTGCAGAAGGCAACGGAGGGACTATTTTATTTTGAACATCATTATTTAATAATAACAACTATTTAAATTAGAGTGTGTATTTTTCATTCATATTGCCACACTTGGTAACCGTTTTATAAAAGCAATAGCTCACTTCAGGCCGTGGTATATGGCCATTATATCACAGTTAAGGGGCGTGGTTCGGCCCGTCGTGAGCTATTGCTTAAATATAATTGATTATATTTGATTATAATTAACTTTCGTTTTAAGTAGTCAACCTAATATGGAGACCTCAACACCGGCTTACCGGCTTCGGCGGCAGTGGTGGGGGGAGCGGTAGTCCGACACGACCTGGCGGGCAGACATGTGCGGTGGACTTCCGTGGATTCCGGACCCGGAAGTGTCAGACACCGATGAGGCGAAGTCATCTTCTTCCTCCTCAGCAAACAGAGCCATAACCCGCAACGGCTGGGATGTCGAACATTGGTGGCATTGCCTCGGCCATATCCTGGTCTCCCACGTCCACCACCTCAAGCTCGTCTTCGGCGTGGTCTGGTCCCAGGCACGCGAACCAGAGCTGGTGTGGATCGGCGCCCGCTATTAAGCCGGGCATGAGGGACAGGCCCGGGTTTCCTGCAGTGGCGACTCCATTCGCTTGCCTGGAGGTAAGATACTTTTTACTTGTTTCGAATGCTTTTCTCAGGTGTTGTCCCGCTCGCTGAAGAGAAAAGGATGACAGTCAGCAGGTTTAGCTGCCTTATATACTGTGCGGCCTGCACGCGCACTCAGGTAGGCTCGCCCTTATTGGCCGGCTACGTTTATGCAAATTCAGTGTGTGAACGCTCACGTATCATTGATGAAGAGTAGTACCCATAGAGTCCAGTAGAGGGCGGAGCCTGTGTGAGATAGAGAGGTGAAGTCCCGCCCATCTACTATAAAATTATCTATTGAAGTCAATGGAGAGAGAAAACGTATATTTCGATCCCGTTTGAATTGTCCCACGAATTACACATATGATGTTTGTCAATCTTAAAAAATTATTTCCATGTAAAAAAAGTCACAGTTTGTCGTAAAACTGTTGAAATATAAGACTATGAAAAATACGCAACTAGAAAGACTACAAATCCCAGAATCCCGGTCCCGCATGCTGGCTCTTACGGAACCGACTAACTCCCCTTGTGTGTATGTACAGCTCTCAACATGCCCAGACTTGTAGTGATTTTCACCTCTTTTAATACTTTCCGCCTCATTCTGAAAGAAAGAAGTGAAATGTGCCAACGTGACGGCCGTCTTGGTGTGTGGTGCGAGACGGGAGATGTAGTTCATTGAGCGGTTTCACACAAAAAAAAGTGTTACTTCACAGTTTTACGACACATTTTTATTTTTTTAACTTGCAAAATTATGTTTTAAAAATTGACAAACATCATATGTGTAATTCGTGGCACAATTCGAAAGATAACTTTTCTCTCTCCATTGACTTCAATACATACTTTTTCCGAAATAAGGTCCCATGGAGGTCCCCCGGAAAGGCAGGGACTTTGCCTCTCTATAGAACATAGATGGATTTCACCATAAAACTATTTGGTATTCACCCTGAAAAAAAAAAAAAACATAGCCCCACATACACTGTTGCTCATAACATACTTGTTTACCTCTTCTCATGAAATGATTGTGTGTTTAATAAGGAATAAAAAGAGGAATGTGTCTGAAAAAACAATTATTCCAACTTTATGGGCAACAGTGTAGATTCAAGACCATATATTATGCAAATGTTCAGGTTCATATTTGTATTTTGTGCCTCTACTGTGAGATGTTTACATGTTTTAATATTCAAAAAGCTCTTTATTTTTCTCATACTTCCTGTGCTGCAGCACCTCTTTTCACCCTCTGTCTGAAAACACAGCCAAGTCTGCTCTGATTGGTTAGCTGGCTGGCTCCGCTGTGATTGGTAAACCGCTTATGTCACTTTTCCACCAAACCAGTTCCAGTTCTAGCTCCATGCTTGTGCTCTTCTGGTTCCGAACTGGTTCTTCTTTTTAGCCACAGTTGTGTTTCCACCACTCAGATCCCAACTGGTGCTGCGTCATGACATCACTGTCTACGTCACTGATTTTTTTCCCAACACCGCTAACAACAACAACAACAACAATGGGGGACTCTGTTCAGTCGATGATCGTGTTGCTTTTAATCATACGAAGCCAGATTAAATTAAAGAACTACTTCTCAAACCTTATACTTTTCTCCAGAGTGCCGTGGTTCATTGTTTATTAATGTGGTTCAGCGGCATTTACCGACCGCTGCAGTTCTGCTCATCCACCGGCGTTAACCCTTATGAAACAAAAATATATTGTAATATATTGGTAAATATAATACAATATATTGGATCATACATTTCCATATATGGGAAAGTAGTCCTTATATTTTTAAATATATTGCAATATATGCATGGACCATGTATGGCTATATATTGATACATATAAAAAAAATATATTGCAATGAAAACAAAAACTGCACTATACATTTATATGTAATAGTTTTATTGAAACACTCATTTATCTTTCATGAGTTTACATAAAATTGAACAGATATTCATAAACAGTTATCTCACTTCGTTTTGTATAGTTACCCACTTTATATATGAACATATGTTTGATGGTAGCCTACATATAAAAAAAGTACAAATTGTCCATTGAATGATGGAAAATAATATACAGTTTATAAATATATATAGACACACACATATATGCACGCATATATGCACGCATATACAGATGAAGCGTCTTATTTTGGACAGTTTAAAGTGCGAGGGTCGTGATCGGTTCATGCACGTTCCGTGATGGCCGGCCGGCCCCCAGTCAGACTTGATACCGCCCCCATGATAAATACATTTAATTATTGTGAAGCCAGCTGCAATGGATCATTGATCCACCAGGGGGTGCAGTGGGGTTCCACACTGGAGTCATGTGAAATCAACTTCTAAATAATAGATGTTGTTTAGTCGGAAAAAACGAACGAGCCGGCTCTCCCGATTTTTAATCCTAATTTAATCATCATCATTGATGTTTATGTTCGCCGAATTGACATGAAATCACTGACAAATATGAATATTCTGTATTCAACTTCATTGAAACGATCAGGATGGGTGTTATTTTTCCCCACAATGACCAAGTCGCTGCAAATGATCCCATGTATTACATGTACATGGCCACATTCTCAACAAAGTTACGTAACGAAACATTCTGTATTCCTTGCTTACTTTTTATTTAATGCTTTATAACAGCTGGAATAGTTCGTTTAGAACAGGCACCTCACTCGCAATCTGCTCCTCCGCAACGCCTACCACCTACCTCCGGCTGAAATTATGAATGTACAGTAAGGCATAGTAATCATAGATAACACGGCAGGGTCCGTTACAGTTTGTTTTCATCTGATTTCAAATATTTCAAATGTCTGAAGTTAATAAATACATTCTCAGTGTTCAAGTCAATAATAGTCATATAAGAAAAGTACTGATCTAATAACAGAGATTTTATAAGGACTTTTCAATGTTCGACATCGCTCATGTGAAATACAGTAAACTGGATGTTGTGGTGCCGAGAGGCGGGGTATCAAAAGTACAAGCTAAACTTTTATTTAGCATCTGAACACACTTGTAAACAACGTGATGCCCGGGAAGCGAAGACCCGGTGGAAACAGCTGGTCTGGTTCACTAAAATGTCCGTGTACAGTATATCTGGTACTAATGTATAGCGGATCTTTGTTAAGATCCATATGTCACGGATAGAACTATATATTGAGCTTTAAAACAAATGATATATATTATAATAAAATAAACACCGGCTGTTGTTATGCCTGCTGTAACGTTTACTTTCTCCGTTCTCCGCTTAAGTAATTATTACTTCCTGGTTAGCTTTCCGCTCGAAATTTAAATCTGAAAATGGCAAAATAACGGAGAAAAAAACGTTCACAGAGAAGACGACAACAATTGTCACTTGCACTTGTCATTTAGCATCTGAACACACTTGTAAACAACGTGATGCCCGGGAAGCGAAGACCCGGCGGAAACAGCTGGTCTGGTTCACTAAAATGTCCGTGTACAGTATATCTGGTACTAATGTATAGCGGATCTTTGTTAAGATCCATATGTCACGGATAGAACTATATATTGAGCTTTAAAACAAATGATATATATTATAATAAAATAAACACCGGCTGTTGTTATGCCTGCTGTAACGTTTACTTTCTCCGTTCTCCGCTTAAGTAATTATTACTTCCTGGTTAGCTTTCCGCTCGAAATTTAAATCTGAAAATGGCAAAATAACGGAGAAAAAAACGTTCACAGAGAAGACGACAACAATTGTCACTTGCACTTGTCATTTAGCATCTGAACACACTTGTAAACAACGTGATGCCCGGGAAGCGAAGACCCGGCGGAAACAGCTGGTCTGGTTCACTAAAATGTCCGTGTACAGTATATCTGGTACTAATGTATAGCGGATCTTTGTTAAGATCCATATGTCAGTAGAGATGGGATGGCAGAAGGTGCTATATATATATATATATAATTCCAAAGCTGGTAAAGACCTTTCAAATTTAGCAATAATAGTCATATAAGAAAAGTACTGATTTGTTCTTGAATCAACTTTTTTATGGAAAATGTTTTATGTAATTTTATTTCATTTTAAATAAAATGAAAGACATTCACAGTTAATGTAATTAGATATACATTATTAATGCCATACATTTTTAAATGTAATTAGATATACATTATTAATGCCATACATTTTTGCATAAATATTTATTCAGTATGATAGCTGTCTAACAGAAGTTAAATCCATTTCTCACTTATTCTGACAATGTACATAACCCCAAATAAAAGAACCCAATAAAAATAGTTGTTAAATAATAGTGAAGTCACGTTGTAATAACAATAACTCATCTCTCTCTGTTTTTTTTGTTTTCTTTGTGTGCTTTGCCAAAAGCCACTGTGTCAAGTGTCCTAGTTGGGTTACCGTAACGAACAGCAGCCGGCTCTCGATTTTTAATCCTAATTTAATCGTTTATGTTCGCCGAATTGACATGAAATCACTGACAAATATGAATATACTGTATTCAACTTCATTAAAATGTTATTAACGTGCCTAAACTCAGTAATTCACTAAAAATTACTGATCCCTCCGCGTCGCGGAGGGATCTTGATCCCTGGGTGTTATTTTTCCCCATAATGACCAAGTCGCTGCAAATTACCCCGCTTATTACATGGCCACATTCTCAACAAAGTAACGACATGACTCCCAATATTAATTAAAATGCTTTTATGGATTTAGAAAATATTTTTATTGATTTAAAACATAGTTCTATGTATTGATTTAAATTTACATGCATCCGCTAAGAAAAATAGTCCGTTGTTACCGTTTTTTAAACAGTCAGAATGAAACGGCAGCTCTCAGCTGTGTGTTCACACTCCTAACTCTGATCTTTCTTTTCCAACAGTTAAGTTAACTGTAGGTTACTCTGAGTGACAAGCTTACAGTTAGTGAAGTAACACTTTTTTTTTGTGAGTCACGACCTCGCTGTTTCATTCTAACATAACGCTCCAAATATGACTGTTTCCACTCGGACTTCAATACAGCAACACCATTGTTTGGTTTCCATGGTAGCGTGT